AATTTAAAAATTTTGGAATTACAAAATTAGAAGCCAAGCTCTTATAAACAAGGGAAGCAAATCGTATATGAGTTACTTCCCTTACATCGCTCATTTACTCTAATACTACCATTTACACCGTTCACATTTTGATCGATTGAACCAAAGAATATATCCTTTTCAGCATTATTTAAAGATCAAATAATTAATATTAAATACCATCAATGTCTGTAGATTTAAAATATTAAACTGATTTATAAAGTTTTCACCTGAATTAATTGGAAATAACTTTTCTAATAAAATTATCACCATCTCACTATATTTAATAAATTAGTTATATATATGCATAAATAGAAAAAAGCAAAATTAAACTTATAACAGTAGGAAAAATTTAAATTTAAAATATGTCAAATGAGTAAATTTCAAAATATGAGTCTTACTTGTCCATGTGTTGTTATATCTCCACCACATATATTGACCAATTCAGATATATCATAATAGGCAGTGAATTCCCAGAGACAAGACTCTAAATTCAAGTTCCTAAAAAGTAACAATTATTTAAAAAAAATAAACTCTCATTAAACAGCATAATTTTCTTTGTTTATCAATTAAAATATTAATCTTAGAAGTATTAGTTTTTAGATTGTCTTTCAAAAATATGAAACTCACGAGATACAATAATGACTTGAATAGATATAAAACCTTTGGCAAACTTGGACAAATGACAAAGAACAATATTGTTCTCTTTTGACGTTTTGGTAAACTTTGACCTTCATGCCTACAAAAAAAAAACAGAGTATCAAAAGGATAGTTTTTCCATATACACCACTATTTTTTTTAGCTACCTTCACTCCTCAGCAATGTTTATTATTTTAAAAAGTGACGATTAAAATTGTATTAAGACTTCAACATATGATGAAAGTGAATTTATACATTTTTTTTCTTGAGAATTTATAACAAAAATAATAAGCACTATTTATTTATTAGTTTGTTTATTTACATTAATTATCATATTGTTTACTGGAATGGTTGGTAATTGATTCAAACTTTATAAAATGGTAAATATTAAGGATTTTTTCATAATTGGTTCACATACAATTTAGTAAATGTTTATAAACTTATGAATAGAAAATTGTTTTCATATTTATTTTTTTGTAAATGATAAATATTGCATTGCATTAGTTTTAATTGTATTAATTTTTAGAATGTTGTATATATAAAATTATTCTTGTAAATAAATAGTATTTAATATTTTTATTGTAAATTCTCAAGAATAAAAAAATGTATAAATTCACTTCCATCCCATGTTTAGTTTTTATTATAATTCTAATCATTGCTTTTTAAAATAATAAACATTGCTGAGGAATGAAAGTAGCTGTGTCTATGGAAAATCCATCCTTTTGACATCATATTTTTTTGTGGGCATGAAGGTTCAAGTTTGCCAAAACTTCAAAAGGGAACAATTTCTAATCTTTTTGTCATTTGAAATATTTCCATATCTATTACAATTTATTCTAGTTTTTATTTCATTATCAATGAATTTTTTAATCATTTCACCCTAAGCAAAGCAATAATGCCTCTATGATTACTGAGAGTGAAGTAGACTGAGAAAATGTTATTTGAGGAGAAAGGACAATAAAAGATCAGGTTTCAAGGAGATGGAAGATGATGATTGATGTTGCATTTAAATTTTTGATGATCATAGTTGACAAGGAAAACAAAAATCTAGGAGAGTGCTCCACAAGTGAGAAGTGCAAGTGAAGAATCTATTTGAATAGAACTTTTGGTTACATCCAGCAATTTCAACAGTAAAATGATAAAACCTTGCAGTCAATTTATAGAAAAATATTTATAGAAAAAGCACAGGGAATTTACATTAGAGCAGTGGAAAAGTAATTGAAACTGAGATGCTAGGTCAGGACTGATAACATAGCAGATTCTTCTTTGGATTTTGTCAAGAATCTTTAGATATATAGCAGAAGGACCAGATTAGATATGGAAACAATATTCAATGAAGTAATGAATGGTAACCTTATAAATGTGCAAGACAGACTCATGTGAGAAAATTGTCTAGATTGATACAATGAACCAATGTTCCTAGCAAGTATTTCAAAACTATACATATTTCTCTCAAATTCTTACAAATGAAGTAAGATAATTCTTTGAATAAAACTCAACATTTTTTATTTGAATTCTTTGGGATTTATTAGAAATAATTATCCTACAATTCTGACTGCCAACATTTAAATAAACCAGTAAAAACTATTAGGAATAGGGTATGATCTTCTATAATAGATAGCAGCATTGTGGGATTTTTTTTACAGTATGCTCAGAATGTTATCAGAAAAAGCAATACAAATGAAGTGTATTTGTGTTTTATAGATTACGCAATGGCATTTGACAAAGTATGCCACAAATATCTGTTAGAGCTGCTCAGCAACATTGACATATTGAGGAAAAACAGAATAATCAAAAGTCTCTACTGGCAGCAAACCACCTCCATACAGATAAAAAATAAGTTCAACAGAGATACAAAAATAGAAAAGGGTGTAAGGCAAGGATGGGTCTTCTCAACAAATTTATTCAACCTTATCGAACTTATTCATATAGCTAGACAATTCTGAGAGAACTGGAAATCCTACCAGGATTCATCATTGGTGGCCACAATCAGGAAAATTACAAAACCTCCTACAGAAGGTAGCAAAGGAGAGTGAGAAGAAGGGACTAAGCATAAAATACAATAAGATTGAATACATGGTTATCAGCAAAAAGATGAGCCCAAAATGCAATTTACATCTCAAGGACAGTAAAATCAAACAGGTCTGGAAATTTAAATATATGGAAAGTGTTCTAACAGAGGACGGAAAGTGTGACAGAGATCCGAAGATGTGTTGGGCTGGCTAAAGATGCATTCCAAGAGATAAGCAGAGTATGATGAGACAGGAAAGTTTCAATGGAAATAAAAAAAAGTGTACTGAACTGTTATGTGATATCTGTCCTCCTGTATGGCAGCGAATGTTGGATGGTCTCCTCAAAGATGAAGAAGAGACTCAAAGCAACAGAAATGTGGTTCTACAGAAGGATGCTAAAGATACTATAGGCTGAACAACAATGAGTTTTTGGAGACAATGGAAACAAAGAGGAAACTTATACTTAACATCAGGAAGAGGCAGCTGAAATTTCTGGGAGACATAATGAGGAAGGAGGGCTTGGAAAACCTCACAGGAGGGATAGAGGGAATGAGAGACAAGGGAAAACAATGTATGACATAATTGACTTGAACAAGTGGATGGCAGAACAGGGTCTTGGGAAAATAACAAAAAGACAAAACTTATTAAGAGCTACAAGAGACAGGAGGAGGTGGAGTGCCATGATTGTCTCATGGCACATAAAGATGAAGAAGAAGGATCATTATTATAAGAACTATTATAAATTACTATTATTATTAATGCTATTATTACTAATATTTATTAAAATTGTTACATTAAATAACTTTGCTACTCATACTCTGACTACCCTTCTTTAAAAGCTGTTAAATATTTTTCTTTAAAAGCAATTAAAAAATTTTAAACAATTTGAGAATTAAGGCTAAAGTTAATCCAGTAATCTTTTAGTTTATTTGCATTACTTTAAGCAATATTTCTTTCCCACTTTTATCTTTTCAAATGATACTTAATTTTGGACTCTTTTCTATGATCAGCTTCTGTACAATTTGTAAATAAGTTTCTATTTTCCATGAAATACTTGTTATTATTCTAACATTATTAGTAATGTTACCTTTCTGATTGTTCTATAAGAGTTACTTTTATGGCTTAGTAAGTTTATTATATTTTTTAAATGAAGTTTTTTTTAACTGATTATTATAATGATGCTGGGAACCAACCATCCATCCACATATGTAGCCAATAACTGTTTGGCATGATAATGATACATAGCTTGTTTGTATAAGTTTGACTGACCCAGCTTAGACAGGTGCACTTCTTTATGGATGAGAGACAACAGGTGAAGTTAGTAAGTAAATTTTGCATGGGCAAGCAGACTTACAAAGGAAAAAAAGAGAGAGAGAAATTAGAATGGAGGAAAAAAAATAGTCTAACTTAAATTTTCTCATGGCACTAGATTCTGAACACTTCATATGGCTAGCAGTATATGTTTTTATGATAAATATTCAAATGAAAAATACACTTGATATATTTTAACCATAAACCACAAGACTTGGCATGGCTGTTTACCAGAGGTCTGTAAAACATTGATTTCTTTTCAGTGATATTCAAATAAATATAAATAGTTTTGGATTAAACCACCAAAATTAAGAAATTAAATGGTTTTACTTAGATTGCTGTGAGACGAATTATAAATTAAATTATTCATGGATATACCTACATCAATAAACCCATATCCTAATGATAGAAAATCAATTTTCCTACATAAAAAAATATTTATTTTTCAATATAATTTCCTTCCTTGTTAATGCACTTAATCTATTGCTTCTTCATTATGTTGATCGAATATAACACAATAAAAATATAAGAACAAAATTCAGTTAATAACCATGTATTAGGTTACAGACTTATTTATCCACCCCTTGTAAATCTTTAACATTTAAAAATTAAATATTTTTTGTATTGATTAATTAGAAATATTCTTATCACTGAACAATTATTCCAATATTTTCCAAATTGCATTTATTGGTAAACTTTGGTAAATGTGCAAAAGTTAAGTTTCCCATTTTGTTGAATTAAGTTAAATTAAGTTTTAATAAAAGCAAACAAATGTTTTGTTTTTTTATTGTTATCATCCTTACCTATAAAACCGAAGGGCTGTATCTCCTCTCAATTTGCTGTTATATTGGTAGGGCTCCATTACACTAGTCACATCTGCATTCCTTGTCTCATTTGTGATGAAACCAAACTGGGTCTGGATTTCATCATAGTCAAGAAGATTAGAACAACGATGTTGTCCAATTCTTGTACCATCTGGACTCAGTATAAGTTCAAAGTTAGATAAACGTCTTGTGGATACAACTGGGAACATGCCATCTCTGTGGGGGATAACGATGCTTATTCGTACTTTGTTGGCATACTTAGAATCTCCAGGACCTGAGATAAGAATGGCAGATAGTTATAAAATCAGTTTAGGGTTTTATATATTATCTCTTATTTTAATATTAAACAAATATAAAACTGTTGATTGTATCACATATTCAAGTTGTAATTAAGTAACATAAAAGTACACAGAAAATATTTAAGTAATGCAAAATTAAAATATACTTAAAAATTATATTGAAATGGTTAAAAAAAAGCTTTGCTTTTTTTATTCAATAATATGGTCATGAGACCTGGAATAAATTAGGGCTATTATACACCCACACAACATATATAAATATATATGTCTTATTTTTATTTAATACCTAGCAGTAGAGCCCGGCGTTGCCCGGGGATGTAACAGTAAGAGATAGATCAAGTATCGACCATCATAAAGACTGAAAAATAAAATTGACAAAGATTATTGTTTAAGGTTGACGGACACGCATGTCTTAATTAGGTTTTTTTTTTTTTTTTACAAATTGGTCAAACCCAAACTCAAACAAAAACATTGTTTTCAATCGTTATGAGTCTACCAATTGAATAGAATTTTATTATAAACAATTGTCTTTTATATGGAATTTTTAAAGCATTCTGAATGTAAAAATAAAGGAAAAAGTGTGCAATATAATAAGAAACACTACCTGCCAAAAAAAAAGTGAATTTTTGTTGAAATCAGTTGAAAAATGTAGAAAATCCAATCCCATATACACACAAACAACTTGGGTTTTATAAGTATAACTCGATATGAGTTGTCCCCCCTTTCATTCTCGCAATAGTGATGCCTCTTATTCATGTTTTCAAATTGATTTCGTGCAAAAACAATTGTTTTTTTCCAATTTTTGGCGCTGTCAGAACCATTACAAGGTAATTTTACGTGGTCCTGTGAAGTTTTGTTGAAATCGGTTGAAAAATGTAGGAAATCCGATCCAATATATAAACGAACAGACACACACACATACAACCTGGGTTTTATAATAAGTATGATTTTCAGTAATGATAAAGGATTTTAATTGTCATGAATAAATTTGTTCAAACTGACCATTTATAACTGAAAAGTTTGCATTTCAAATTTCTTTTAAAAGAAACATTTTCACTTACCCTTTTGCTAGAATTCTGTATTTTTTTAATTAAATGAACAAAAATTGTAAAATGTATATTTTTATATATAAAATTTACCAGAAAATACTCTTTAAACTGTTAGTTTATTAGTTTCATGATATTTATCTAGGAAGAATAGCAAATGTTGCATTTTAATGAAGGGGCTACCTAAACAAAATAGTTTTTTCAATCATCTCACTGACCTGTATATCTAAGTTTTGCTGTAAATGGTTCAGCTCCAACTGAGTTCAAACTCTGAGCCATGCAAAGTCCTTCTTCATGACTAACAGTGACAGTGCGGCTTAGTAATTCCAGACCAGGATCTCCATCTACATTCACAGCCCGTGCTCCACATTGTACACGACTTCCTAAAAATAAGAGAAAAAATTTACTTAACAAATGACATCATCCTCCTAATATATACTGATCTAAAGCATCATGAAAAATTAAAAGTGAGAATAAATTCATAAATTTATTGGTCTTTTGATACAAAACTGATTTAAAAATATTTTATACCTGGATTTTTCATATCAAAGGAAAAATTGAATGAAAAATATGTCATAAGTGGATAAGTTGTAGGGACATTATTATAAATAAAATATAAAATAAGGATAATAATGAAAAGTATAAATAAAATAAAATAAAACAATAACATAAAAACGTATGAAATAAATTAAATAAAAATAAAAATACTCCCAGCATGCAATAAAAACTGTTCCTGCTAGAAATACTGATATCCTGCCAAAAGACGTTAAATTCAATCTCTTCGCCATGAACCTTGGTACAGGCAACATGTGTCCAACTTCTCTCTGTGACATGGCATGTAATAGTATGGAGTAACTTCTTCCTTTTCTCACATGTACTACAAAACAATTGTAAACTAAAAAATATGCACACCAATACACACAAAAAATATAAATAAATTGTACGAAATTAACATACAATTTACCATGATTTCCTGTTATTTCTGTACATTTTATATCCTGTCAAGTATGCTTCTATCTCTGTGAATACAAGTCTAATTTGTGTTGCTATGATGTGAATGACCCCCCCCACAACCGACATCATTTTTGGTGATCATTAACGTCCATAACAAAAACAACCTATTCACCTACAAAGTCACAATTAAAATGTGTATATGATAAAAATTATTGTTCTTTGTATTTATAAATGTATTAATTACATATTATTCTTAAGTTGCAAGGATAGACAATTTAAATTGCGTCAAATCCTAATAATAATTATTATTTTAGTTAATTACAGTTTTAATGGTTTGGTACCAAAACTGGTTTAGTTTTTTTTTTGTATCAGTGCTTTCTTCTCTTCAGTAAATTTCTGGTTGAATATGCAATTTTTTCTTCAAATAGAACCAAAAACTCTTGGCAATCAGTCTATTACTCAAGTCTCTGAACCAAATCAATATCTGCTAAACTAACTACTTAGTTAAAATCACTTAAAATCTAAAGTCCATTAGGGGACGTTCCCTAAGTCTATAATAGGCAGTGACATTCTCTGTCATCCTCTTTTTCCTTTCTCACTCAGGGATGGTAAGATGTAGGTTGAACGAGGAAATGCTTTTCCACTGGGAAACATGCAAGTATGTATGCACCTTTTATTTCATTTTCTCTAGGACTTTCTCCTACACCAAACTACACACGATATTGTCACCCCCCCACGAGGGTGTCATGTGGCACAAGGCCTTTTTAACGTGGGCATTCCGAGCCCGTGGGCTCGGCCAAAAATATGCCCATTGAACCCGTATAAACGGGTTCAGAGCCGGTTTTACCTCCACGAAGGAGACTCCACCCTTCGGCGTAGCCTCCTTCGGGTTCCTCCTATCCGTAGGAAGAGAGTTCAACCGAGCAGTCGGTTCAAAAGTGAATGACTCACTCACTCACCAAGCTACACACACACAAACAATTCACTAGTGTAAATGCTTTCTTCATTTAGTGTAGGAGATAGCAGAAAAATCATGCAAATGACGATACAAGCATCAAATTTGGCACATTTGTTCTCTAAGTCATACTAACCAAATCTAGCCAGGTGGCCAATTAAAAATCCAAGATAGCGACCATTTTCCAAGATGGCCACCAAATTAGCCACTTAAAGTTGACATTTTGCTTAGAAGTATTTCTAGTTGTCCGATTTGCATGATCTAGGTATGGATTCCTATGTTTTCAAGCCTACTGGAGTAGATTTTAATGTTTACAAAGCACACTGACATATATTTTTCTCTCTAATTTTCTCACTGTACATTATGATTTTAATATGTTTCCATGGTTATGGAGTGTAGGGATGTAGTGTTAGAGGTAGCACCTTGATTTCAGTACTCAGCTACATCAGTTGGATGGACTATTGACACTGGTCCTCACCACAGGGCCAACTCTCATCTATAACTCCAAGTAGATACCAGTGCATGGCATCATCTATAACCTAGTAAACTGCATTTGCTCACGGGCTGAACTAGATGAGGATAGCACACAGAAGGTCTCTGTATGTGACAGAATACATCTAACTCCCAAACTTTCAAGTGCATGAAGTTGATGAAGTTATTCAAGGAGTGGTTGTCAGACACATTGGTGATATCACTACTGTGAAACTCAGCATGGGGTTCAGTGTCAGCTAAGTAGGAAATTTATGTTGACATTATATTGCAACAATCTACTAGTATCCCAAATACTGCCTAACTAACCCCAGATCAGTTAGGCAACTGTACCAGATGTGCCAGCATGGGAGAGCCAAGCCAAGGATAACAAGGTTTTAGTTATCTGTATGGTATACAGATCACGCAAGACTTATGATACTGTATAAATGATCCGATTAGGTGTAGGGCACAGTGCAAGAACTTAGTTGTATCCCATACAGGAATGTATCTATTATACATGTACAGGATGGTAAAAGGATAAACCCTCAACCCTGAATGTCATACTGACAATTGACACTAGTTTTACTAGAAATTTGGGAACACTGACTGGACCAAGTTTTGTCTATGTCAGGAGGTTAAGAAAGAAAATCTAAAGTCCCCACCAGGCCAATCCTGCTAGAAGAGGCACTGATGAATATATATATGAACTTGGCAATGAATATTCCTCTGCTTCATTCACTCAAAGCGCTGCCAATCAAGTTAGACCCTGCAAGACTTGATGAAGGTGGTGGGATAGAAGAAACCTTGAGACAAAAAAAGGCACTATATCTTGAGAGTTGCAGGCTCCTATTTAAGAACACAAAGTTAAGCAGGTAACAGTGATGAGGGTGGTAGAAGTATGATTCCATGAAAGGTTCAAGAAGCTAAAACAGAATGTTTATTTTGCGAAACCAAAGTGGGGAAGCTTAGAGAAGCAATGACAATGGAAGTGAATAAGAGAATAAATAAGAGAATGTGCAAAAACAATCAGTGATAATAAACTCCTTACCATACTAAGTGCAAGAGATGCCATAGCACAATAACTAAAATATAATCCTGCCTACTTGCTGCCTAATTGCTGCCTACTTGAAGTGCACCTATAACCGAGAATGAGCCTAAATAAAAGTGCAGGAGCAAGAGAAAGCATAGGAACACTGCAAGGAAGTATATCCAGTTGCTTTCTCCAAACTAGTCACCTACGTTAGATGAAAAATGTCAGTAACAGTAGAGATCCACTCATTTTCAAGATTGCTGACTTGTCCATGCGTTACAAGCAGAGGCTGGAACTAGTAGTGGTCTAGTAACTAGATATGAGGCCATGCCTGGTATGAAAGATACCACCTACAACAGCAGACACCATGAGCAGACACTGAATGCCTAGAAATCTGTCTTTGAAAAACTGAAATCATTCTCTGCAGTGATGCAAAGATGGGCAGCACATTCCAAAAGGAATCAGCTGACCTTCTGGTGCTAGACATGAAGAATATTGCAGACCCAACTCTAGCTAAAATAGTAGCTACACATCACTAGTGGGGCAAAGAGCAGTTCGAATCATTCATGAAGGGGCCAGGGGATGAAGGTAAAAGTTCATTCTATCATCCAATGAAGAAAAACCCTGTTTCTTTCTCTCCCCAAGAACAGGCCGAGGGAATTTATAAGAAGACAGTCCTGAAAGATGACTGTTAGTTATTCTTCTGACTGTTCATCTCCTGCCAGAACAGGCATTGTAACTTGCAAGAATTCTTCAAGCATGAGAATCAGTCATACCCTGCATCTTTTAGTGACAGTGGCAAGCTTCATATGTGTCAGAAATCACAGCTGGTTGAAATTATTGATGTGCAAGTGAACTTCCTAGACAGAGAATCAAAGGGGGATGCTATCATAATTGATGGATCAGCATTTATCAATGCCTTACCTCCACATACTTCAAAGACATTTTATGACTATGCTAAAGAAGACATCATCCCAAAAGTGGAATACTGTGGTGCCAGGTATGAGTGGAGAGATAGACGTAGTCTTTGATGTATACAAAAAGTCAAGTCTGAAATCTGAGATAAGGTCAAAAAGGAGACAAGGAATCAAAAGAAGAGTGACAGGAACAAGTAAGACACCAGGTAATTGCCAAAGCTTCCTTCATGATGTGAGCAACAAGACTTGTGGAGGAGATGTATGAAGCATAGACGACAAGCACAATTATAGTCACAAAAGAAGAAAATGCCATTAGCACCACAAGGAAGTCTCTGGATGCAGTGTCCCCATGTTGTCACAAAGAAGCTGACACTCAAATATTTGTACATGCTAGGGATACAACAACTGATGGGAGAAAGTTTATTATCATTAAAGCTAATTACACGGATGTGCTAGTCATAGCAATATCTTTGCTGCCATTCTTACAGGGAATACGTCTTGAGAAATTGTGGATTGCCTTTGGCCTAGGAGTCAAGATGCAATGGATTCCAGTCCATGAGGTAGAGCTGCAATATGACTTGAGAAAACTAGAGGGATGTCATACATTCATGCATTCACTGAATGTGATGTCGTGTCTGCCTTCTGTGGGAAAGTGAAGAAATCTGCAGACTTGGAACATATTTGTGTATGTTTCTGAAAAATTTACTAATCTCAGCCAGCATCCAACATTGATTTGTGATCTTAACCTGCAAAGGCTAGAGAGATTTATTGTCCTCATGTACAACAGATCAAGTGCAGCTACTAGTGTGGATGAAGGAAGAAGAGGCCATACAACTCAATTCCACCAACACAAACAGCCTTCAAAGAATATGTAAAGCATGAGGCCTATCAGGGTGAGATCATCTGGGTCCAGGAAACCATCTCCAATCCAGACATGAGCAGTCCTGCTGAATGGAGATGCACACAGAAAGGAGAGGCATGGCAGATATGCTGGACAATACTAGCCACTATAGCAGTGGGCTATTATCAGTGAAATCACAAGCAAAACTGTTTGTGGCATGGTTTTTATTATTTACTAGTCAGTGCAAAGCTTACAAATTGAAAATGGACAATCTGGAAGCTATCTTGAACAGTAGAATCTTGAAAAATATGTGTCATTGTGCTTTATAAACATTAAAATCTATCTCAGTAGGCTTGAAAACATGAATTCACACTTAGATTATGCAAACTGGACAACTACAAATACTTCTAAGCAAAAAAACTAATTTGGTGTCCATCTTGAATAATGGCTGTCATCTTGGATTTTCAATTGGCCAATCAGCCAGATTTGATTAGTATCATTTGGAGAATAAGTGTGTGAAAGTTTATGCTTGAATCCACATTTGCCGATTCCTCTAAAAATTGCTGTCATCTGCTATACTAATTCATGTTCATTGTTCAGTAACAAGCAACAACATTTTATTGCCTATGTATACCCTTAATACATACTTATTGTTTGTTTATATATATAGTTTTGTTGTTTCTTTGTTCATTTATTACCCAGGCTCTCATTCGAGTCTACCATTTTTGTTGTGGGATAAATATACCAGGAGATAGATGTTTTCCGACCCAAACATAACCAGCATCACGCCCACTACACTATCAAATAGCAGCTTAGCACTCATCTTTGTTTCAGACAAAATTTCCCTATCCCTTATTACTTTGTTTAGCCTTTAGAATGCATTTTTCCATTTCAATGCAATTTTGGAAACTTCTGTACCTATTTGATATTGATTTCTCCAATCTATAACTCACACCCTGAGCTACTACCTTTTGTTGATGACCATACATTGTCTTCTTACAGTTAGTAATTATAATTGTCTTATACATTTAACATTTGACAGTGTTTGCATTCAACTTTAGTCACTTAAATATACATGTATCTATGTGTGTGTGTCTATGTTTATGTAAATATATTTAAATTGATAAATCTAATGACAGAAAGAAGCATTTATTTGACATAACAAATATTTAATTTTCAATATATTATCTTTCTTTGTCAATTCACTTAATCATTCCTCCATTAATTTAATAGATTGACCATTATACATACAAGATGAAAATTCATCCAATAACCGTACATCAGGCTACAAACGTATTGATCCACTCCTGCAAACTGCCCTACCTAAAATCAGTTATAAGAAACAAGGGATGTACAAAACACATACTCCAAAAACATTGCAACACAACTGAATAATAACAGCCATCTGCAATTTATGAATTTTAAGCAAGAATAAGGCTTTCACTCCAAATCAGAAGACCTAATTTGATCAGTGTCATTGAAAAAAAGGTTTATGTGCAAGTTAGATATAGGTTTACTATCAGATCACAAAATAATATTAAGTTACATAGAAATAGAAAATAACATGATTATTGAGAACTTGAAATATGGGATATAAAAAACGGTTTCTGTTTATATTTCTGAGATGAGGTATTGTAATTATTTACATTATTTACATTGTTCAGACAGTGGTCCTCATCTTCATTGCCATATTCACAATGTTTCAGCTGTGGTATGCTCTGGCCTTCTTCAGATGATTGGAATTTTGAACTGAACCCTTTATTTCATCCACCATGGCACATTGTTCTAGTTCCATGTGCCATATCTCTTCCGGATATCTCAGTTATCTCCTTTTAACTGGAAATTGCTTTTCTATAGCACACCATATTACTGGTTTCCATATTGTATTCATTTCTTTGCTTGGCTGGCTTAGGAGATTTTTGTGGCCTAGCATATCTGTTGATTCCTTAAGTTTATGTATTTTTCAGTGATGTTTCACCCTCATCCTGCAGAGGGTGGTGATCTCCCTTTTCCCTCCATATGTGGTCAGCTACACCTGATTTTTCTATTTTCCCTCATGTTATGGCTTTACAAAGTTCTTGTAGTCTTACCTGAAGGGGGTGGCTTGTTTCTCCTTTATATTTCTTACCACAGCTGCACAGGATGGCATACATACAGTTCTTAGTCATGTTCTTTTTTATGAGAGGTCTTACTCAGAAGAGGTGTCTGTGAACTACTTTTGTAGGTTGTCCTGATGTTATGTGGGCCACAGGTCTTCTGTACTTTTTCCAATAATCCCTTCACATAGGGTAGGCAGACCAAAGCTGTTTTCTGAGTGTTGTTATCCTCTTGTACCCTTCTATCCCAATTTGTTGGAGCTGCTGCCATGTACCCAGGGTAGTTGTTATGTTGTAAGGTACTACTTATACTGGCCATTTCTTATTCATATATCTCTGGTCACCACTTATGACTTTTGCTTGATGTTGTAAGCAGTGGATAACACATTTCTTTACATTGTATGGGTGATGGGAGTTGAAGTTGAGGTATTGTCCAGTGAATGTTGGCTTGCAGTTAACAGATGTCTTGAACCCATTCTCTGTTTGAGATATTAGTACCTCCAGGAATGTGAGTTTATTGTCATTTTCTCTCTCCATTGTGAACTCTATCAATGATCTTATTGAGTTCACATGGTCCAGTAATAGCTGGACCTCTTCCTGGTGTGGCCAAAATATGAAGGTGTTATCTACATATCTCAGCCATAGGGTTGGCTTTAATGATGAGGATTCTAATGCCATTTCTTCAAAGTATTCCATCTATATCTTTGCTATTGCTGTTGATAATGGTGAGCACATTGCTAAGCCTTCATCCTGTTCATATATGTCTGTGTTTGTGTACAGAAAATCAGCATCTTCATCAGGTTATCTATTGATATATTGGTCTGTTGTCCTATGGATAAGTCCAAGGCCAGTCTGTCTCTGACTACTGATAGTGCCTCCTTGTGGGTACCTCAGTGAACAAACTCACCATGTCCAGGCTCACCATTGTGAATATGGCAATAAAGAGGAGGACAACAGTCCAAACAATGTACATAATGTAATTAAAAAAAGGTTATATTATAAAAACCTCATTCATTAGATAAGGGTGGCAGTAAATTTAAAAAATGTATTTGTAGATCACCAATATTTTATTAAAAACCAGAAAATATGATTGACTCCATTAATATTTGGTAGATCATACTCAGAACAGAATGATTATATAATATATATATATATATATATATATATATATATATAATTAAATATAAAATTTTTCTTTTTTCTTAAATTACAAGTATATTTTAGATTCTCTTCCATTTTTTGTAGTCACCAATAATTATTGGTAGACTAAGAATAATGATAAAATTCCAGTCAGAATGACTTGATTCAATTAGAATTTGAATGAAATTAAGAAATATAGGAAAGTAAATTATTGTTCACTATGAAGAAAAGTTTTGAAGATCTTGAAAAACTTTTTGTTTGACAGCAAACCAAAATTTTACTAAAATTCTAAAAATATTATCAATATGATTTTTATCATGTTACTAATAATACAAAAAGCTTTCCCCATTAGTAGAAGCAGTGAAAATCACTCATACAAAATAATGGCAGAGAAAAGAAAGATATTATGGCTTCACCTGGTCCAAAATAGATGCTGTCCAATGTAATTCCTTTTGTAGATGTAAAGAAAGTGTTAGCTTCAACATTATTCAATTCACTGGTGACTCCATTAACGCCACTGGGAGCTGAGATGCGCCAACGGAATCTAGTCAGTGTATTGTTAATGCCTTCTTTTTCACATAAAATGCCAGTCTTGGAGAACTCAGGGTGTTTTGGATTGCACGCCTGTGAATCATAACAAATACATTCATTCAGGAATTCAGAAAGTTGACTTTCTAAACATAAATTATAGTCATACTTTAGAGATCTTATTAATAAAAAAATATTTTCATTTTCACATAAATTTCTAATAGATTTTATGAGTGGGGAAGAAACACTTGGATTTATTTTAAAAACTGAATAAAAATAAGTAATAATTCATATTTTAAATTAATGGACATGCATTATCTATAATATTTTGTAAAACAATATAAATATATAAAAAGTATTTGTTTTAAAAATTTAGTAAATTTTGGTAGCTATGAAAATATACATTAACAATTAACAAGGCAATCATTAAAATTTTAAAGTTTTATTGCAGAATTTCCAGTAGAAAAAAAAAATATATATATATATATATATATATTTAGGGTTTAAAAATGATAGTAAAATTAAATATTAACATTTAATTACTTACTGTTATGCAGATACATGGGTATCCTTGAATTGGTTGTGGGTTGGTAAGATCAACATTATCATAATCCCTAAGAGATACCACCATTGGTTCAGTTGGAAAGGTCACATCTGCAAGTTTTTTACGTTCCTCTATATACACAATAGCTTTATTGTTTTTCTGCAATTGATGAAAAAATTTAATTTAAAATTTCTAAATTTTATTAAGAAATCTCACATAAGAGGAAGGACATTGTTGTATTTATGAAGTTACCTACTGAACAACAAAGAGATGAAGTTTAACCACAGTAAGTATAATTTAATTTTCAGTAAAAAAAAGTGCTAATATATTGCATTTTAAGTTAATTTTGGTAAGCATATATCTGTTATTGTTTTCATTTTTTGCATAATTTAGACAATAATTTCTCTATTGCACCCTTTATATATATATATATATATATATATATATTGATAAATGCATTTATAACAATTTCTTAGTTTCTTTTCAATAAGAGAAACAGAATGCAGAATGTGACTGAATGACTGTTTTCATTAAGAGATAGAAAACAATACAATTAGACCATTGTTTTTTCTTAGGTGTTTGTCTCAGTGTAAAATACATACTTGTACTTCTGCAACAAAGTTCTTATCAGGTTTCAAGTGCACAGTGAATGCTTCTCGCATTTCTTTTTCATTGTCATGTAAAACTTCAATTTCCACCATTTGATGTGACACATTGACACTAAACACCAGTTCTGAAGAAAAAATTTTGAGTGAATAGCAAAATGTTTTTAAGATAAAATTCATAATCAGCTTTTTTTTCCTGCTTTGTAACTCACAAAACACTTTTAAGGATATAATTAATTTTTTCCTTAAATTTAATAAAATAGGTGTGTAATTGTTCTTCAATATGGATCACTTATGATTTAAATGATTGTAAAAGATTGAAAAGTTAAAATATTTTGTATAAGCATATTCTTAAACTTGTGGTCAAAGAGGAAATATATTTTATGTGAATATTCTATAAAATTTCTAAAACAAACTTAAAAATCCATCTTTCTGAAATAAATTCCAAATTTGATATCTTTCTAAAAATGAATAGAAAAGCCAAAAGATTTAATTAAGATTTAAAGGGAACTAGGAACAGATGTAACCATTTAGTCACATCGGTTGTCAATAAAAATTGACCTGTAAAGATAATTGATATTGTTTAACTATTTTGTATACAATCTAAAAGAAAAATTATGATTAAGATATTTACATATCAGATTTAACAAATTTTTTTTTCAGTAGATCTTTACCCATTTTATTTTTGTAGACATAAAGAATTTTATTAACAAAAATGATTGAAACAATAAACCCTGTGCCTACAAATACAAATGCATTTCTTCTAGTCAGCTTTTTCTGAGCGCTTAACTTAGAATTTAATTAAAGTCAAATGTGTACAAGAGGATCAAATAACAAGCTAAGTGGCCATCAGAAATGGGTACATTTATTATGTGAGTGTAGGTTAATACCTTTAGAGACTCTATTATAGTCTCTTCCTGATTTAGCAGAGCCATCTTTGGTATGAACTCGAACCACTGAAGTCTGTGAAAGGTCACCATAGCGAGCCACTGGTATGCGAACATATGCCAACTCTCCATATTCAAAGGGTTCTTTAACAGAGTATTTGTTGTTCTCAAATTTTATCACAGGCTCTGAAATACAATCAAGTGAGTTTTATTTATTATTGTACTCTAGTCATGTGACTTAAGTATACATCAGGATTATGTAAATTTGATCATGAAAATATATGTAAACTAACCAGTTTATATACAATGATCACTACAATGATCACACAAGGAAAGAGATTATGATTTAAAGAAATTTTGAAAGTGATATTTGTATTTTCATCTTTTGCAACCTTATACATAAGCTATAAAATCACCTTTAAATGATATTCAATGATTAATTTCATTAAAGACCATGTTTAAAAAGTGTTTGAAAGGATTAAACAATCTTGTTTTTTTTTTCTTTATCAACAGTATAAAATTTGTCACTAAATATGGTATGTATCAACCTCTCTGAAATTAGCTGAAAAGTTTATTGTTTTGATTTTCTGTGTTTTACCATCAATGGAATGAAGTTTAAATTTTCCTGCATACAACTTTGAGCTTCTGCAGCATTAGCCTTACAGTAAAACTTGAAAAAGAGACCCTGACTCTTATTCGTCCATAGAAAATAAAACAAAGAAAAAAATGAGCCACATCTGTGTGTTGTTACAGTTTATGGATATTAGAAGCAGCAATAAGTGGCGTACTGATGATGACCAGACAAAATCTGGTAAAAATGTTATGGAAATGTTGGCACTACTGTTGGAAGGATATGAAGTACCATTCATTGCCTGACTTGTTGAAAAACAGGCAACTTGCTGATAAGCCCCACTCAAAATAAAACAGGATTTGCAATAAAACAGAGAGAAAGGGGTTGTGAACAGAAAACATGCTGCAAGTTGAGATTCAATCTTGAGGAAAAACAGTTTTGCTTGTGATTTCACTGATAATAAGCAAATTAAATTTTGTTTACACCCAGCAGAGATATTCCTTGTAAAATTTGTGATATATTCATTATCAATAACAAGAAGTGAAGTATAAGGAGAAGATTGTGTCTAATAAAATGTCATTATTAACAAAATTGTAGGCAGATTGCTTAACTTTTGACCTTTTTTAATGAACAGATATACAAGCAGAATATAATTTTTTAATATTTTAATGTAGAACATACATCTATATAAACATACATACACACACATACACACACACACACACATATATATATATTTGTTGATATATAAAATTATACAAAATCATATTATTATATCACACACACACACACACACACACACACACACACACATATATATATATATATATATATATATATATATATAACTATGTAAATACACATTTACACACAAACATGCAAATACACACACACATACATAGACACACACACACACACACATATATATATATATATATATATATATATATATATATATATATAGATAAACCGTGCAAATACACACACTCACACACATATATATATAACCATGTAAATACACACACACATATATATATAACCAAGCAAATACACACACACACACACACACACACACATATATATATATATATATATATATATATATATATAACCAAGCAAAACACACACACACATACACACACACATATATAACCAAGCAAATGCACACACATAACCATGCAAACAAACATGCACACACATACATACATGCACACATATGAGTGTCATCAACCAAACCCACTTCTAAAAATTTGGGTATATGACTAAGCATCAGTGTTTTTTAGCAGCCCCTTTTATATCCAAGCTTATATGCATACATACACACATAGACATGCAAACACAAGTTGATATTATTTTATATACATTTCATGTATGCAACATAAATGACAATGCCTTTTAAGGAAAAAATGTTATTTGACAATTTTTTAAATCTCCTACTAATCTGTCAATAAAATGATCATAAATCAAGATGTTGACCTTTGTAATTATTAATATATTTTTTACTTGAAATTCATAATGGGGTATTATAAAAATGAAAAGATAATAGAGTATTATAAAAATAAAGAGCACAAGTGAAATCAAATTTCTAACTTTATTATTTACTTTAATCTATCAAGTTCTGGCTCAACATTTAAAATATTTCACATGTTTACTACAAAATGTCTGCTGTATAAGCAGAAATTTAATTATTCTCTTGTATTTTTAAAGCTACCATCATATATCATCATTTTTTAAGACAAAGAAATTTTAAAGATATAAAAATCAAGAAAAATGTTTCAAAAAGTAATTTTGCAATTATTTTTGATAATTATTAAATTACTATTGAATAATTGTCAAAAACCACCAAAGTGGTATTTTGGTTATTTTAAGTTTTAAGGAGTAACAAAGTTGGAAGATGTGCCTCCATAGGTTTATGGATAAAGAGTTTGAACCAACTAATTTTGTTCAATATTATTTTGTTATATTTGTTCAATATAATATTACTATTAAAATTACAAAAATTTGTATCAAGGTAATAACATATCACCTTGAAGAGTAATTACTCTTCAAGGTCCTTTTCTAATTGTAACATGTTATCTATTTTTGTAACATGTTATCTACTTTTGTAAAAATAAATCTGTTAGATAAACATACTGAAACTAGTTTTGTAAAACAAAAATATCAAATATATTAAATTCTTACTGTCTGCCAAATCTGTAAGTTTAACATGTGTGATGTTTTTGGGTCCAATAAGTGCTTGCTTTAAGGTTGGACTGAAAGGACTTCCAAGTACTAAACAAAATTCTTCCTCTTGTTCATGGATGTGGTCACCCATTAATTTTACTCTACAAGTCTTTTCTCTTTCACCTGAAGAAAAAGGAAAAAACATTTTCATAATTCTTTCAAAAACATTTGTAATGAAACTATGGATTTTAAAGAAATTGGATTGAAGTAACTTGAAAAATATTTTCAAGTATTTTATTAAAATGTGATAGTATAGTTAATTTTGTTAAAATGCTAATGAGATTATTATTTTTACCATTACCAACATCATAATAGTGCATACTTACCTTATGGCTTCAGTATTCTTAGAATCAAACTTTTGCTATCAAAAATATTATAATGAGTCTGATGACATTCTTTCAAGATATATTGCCTCCTCTCCTATCATAAGTTTAGCCAAAAGTTCATCTATGATTGTCATGGTAAAACTGAATCCAGGTTATTCAATGACAATAAATAAAGCCTAATTCTGTATGATCTTCTGCCAAAAATCAGAGGCTCAAAATGAAACCAATTATAATTATACCAAACAGATTATCCAATAATTCCCTAACCAGACAAAGTATAACACTCAACAGTACATTGAAAATGCTGTTAATATCTTATGAATTCTTCAGTTTGGTTACAATTTTTTCTATGTGCAATTGAATGATAATGAGGAAAACAAGCACATACTTCTACCTCTATCTTAATATATGTTAGGGAGTAGATAAGAAATAAATAACAATTTTTTTAATTTATGCCAATTCTTAAAATATTACTATAAAATAATAATTAGTAACCAGCATGCATAGCAATTTACTTATACTTTTTCTGGTATTCTGTCCATCAGGGTAGCTTACAGAGAAAATATTATAATTTAAAGTTACATAATTTTATTTTATCAATTAAATTCTTAAAATGTCTCTTAAAAAAAAAATTAGCTATAGCCTTCTTCAGGTTTTAGTTGGATGAGCAAACTTTAGGGAGTCTTGGATTGAATATTATTTAATAGCTATGGTAAAATAACCAACATTTACAGGTTCAAAATTTGAGTGTAGAATTACTAAAATGTGATAAAAACAAGATTGTTAGGAGACATAAACCCACTATCAAAATTTTATGATTTTTATCCTTTATTCTTAAAAAATAATACAGTCTGAATAACAGTGATTACCAGTAGTAGTAGTAGTAATAGTAGTAGTAATATCAAAGGTTCTTGTAAAGAAGAGGATTTGTTTAGTTTATTCAGGTGCTTACTTGGTTAATGACTTAAATATTAACAATATTTGTATATATATATATATATATATATATAGGACAAACTAATAAGTGTTCATATATATCATGATATATATATGTGTATTTAAAAGCAAGGTTACAGAGTACAGCGCTAATTCTGAGCGACAGTAAATCTGACTAAATTAATTAGTTAATTAAGCTTATGTCCTGTTTATTTATGACACATTCTGGCTACTCTTTTGATCAAGCAATGCAATTCATATCATTATTGTTTTTATTTATTTATTTTTACCCAAATTTGTTTGAAAGGCCACCAGATGGACAGGAGGGTAAGTGCCTACCCACTCAGGTCAAATAAGAGATTCAACATTCCAAATATGACAGGAACTGAAAGAAGGCAAGAGAATAGGGTGGGGGAAATGTAATATAGAAACAACAAGCACAAAGAAATTTGTCTCAATAAGCCAATATTTTAGGTGTGTGCAAAAGTTGCCAGCACATTCTTTTGAAAAATTTGAGGCTGAATACACAACTGAAGATTTCTTTTTGCAGGAATCTTTTGCAAAGACCTAATAGAATTCCAGTGAATTCATGGCTAAATCTTGAATTTAATCTCACAGACTCAGTAGTACAATTAATATATGTGATAATTAATGATTGATAAAATAAGTGCATTTCTTTGAAATTATAGATAAAATATAGAATGAATAGAATTAAGAGTTGTTTGAATCATGATGCTAGCTATTTTCTTGGCATTCATTTACAATGTCAGTTACCAAAAATATTTGATTGTAAATTCTGAAATTTGAAGTAGTTTTTTTTTGCACATCTAGAATATCATCCATCAGAACATGATCTGTTATAAGACTTTCTGAAGATATCTTTCTAACCTGCAAAAATACATAGGAATAACAGCAGAGAGAAAAACAAATTCAAAGGAGTTCTAACTGGTATAGCCACTTAGACTTTCCAGTAACACTGTACAAATGAAATGTGACTACATATTTATAATCACACACACATATATATATATATATATATATATATATATATATATATATATATATATATATATATATATCAATATTAACACTACCACTATATGTGCAATATATTAGAATTATATATATATACTAGCAGCATTACCCAGCATTGCCTGGGTTTATTCAAAAAAAATCATGAACCTCATCCAGTCTATAAAGTTAAAATAAAGATTTTTCTTTAGTGCCTCTTATCTATATGGTGAAAAATTATAATGACATGAAGTGTGAAAACATTTATAACAGGAGAAAGTTGTTTTCTACAGAAGCACAGAAGATACAAAAAAATTTGTCAGCAAATGAAGAGTACATTAATCACAATCAATCTTCGAAAATTGTTGAGGAGAAATGCTTTGTTGACAGCTTTTGCTCAAACTACATCGAATGAACAACATACATTGGAAGGAGAAGAAATTCAATAAAGGCTTCTCCTAGCAGCCGTGCCAAGGCTGAAAACCTACGTTCAAAAGACTATATAGAATTGTTCTTTGTGCCTCAGTTTCGACAGCTCAAGTAGCATCAGTTCTGGCAGCGTTCCTTCCTCGTCTAGTTAACCATTGCTCATTAGTTTCTGCTGACCTTGCATTAGCTGTATGAATGGCATTTTGTGTCAGTCTAATTTGAGTTTCTTGTTGCGAAGCGTTTCTTCTTCATGCTTTCATGCATTTGGCTGTAGTAGTAGCACATCCAAGTGAAGGATTTCACTTTCTTGGCATTACTGTCAGGCTGTAGTTGGAGGGGTTTGGCTAAGCTTTTTGAATAACAATGAAGTAATCAATTAAAAATCAAGGATATTATACACTTTAATGGAAATATAGCCACAATAAATTAAATGCAAGTTTATAAGGGAGACCATGGAAATGTGGTAAACAGTTATGTGCAAGCTTGTAAAGTTAGGATTTATCTAAAAATAGACTACCATAAAAATGTTCTAGTGATAAAAATAAAATTAATGTGCAGCTAGAAACCTAAACACTATGAACATTAAAACGTACATGCTAAGTTTAGCATAATTATAAATGAATCGAAAGAGGTTCTTTACATTATTATAAGTGCATTTTTCAGAATAAAACTGTCAAAATTTTAGGGCTCAAGTTTCCAAATATATGAGTTAGTAAGCATTATGTAAATGCTGATTAGAAGATGATAAATACATAATTAAAATTGGCATTTATGCTTAAACTTTTTTTAATAATATGATTTTCACAAATTTAAATTTAAAGTATCAAAAATTCAAAATATACCTTTTTACTGGATGACAACTTTGATTTGAATGAGATTTTTTGCATTTATTTCATCACATAGCACTAATGAACACTACACGTGAAGCAAAATCAATAGTACACACTACATAACTCGATCAATCATTGCATGTGAAGCAAAATCAATTGTACACACTACACATCTTGATCGATCTCACACACACATCTTATACCTATGTGCACTTCTCTCATTGGTGCACACTTTTGTTTTCACTTATTCTTTTTTTCTTAAGGAAGGATATAATTTTTGCTGTCAAGTTAATGCAATGTACTATTTCAGTACCAAAATGGGAAATCCGTGGGAAAAACTGATATTTTACATAATGTATTTATGACTCATGGGTTTTGATTTTGAGTTAATTGATCTAAACACAAATTGTGTGCAAATTTTCATCAGAATGCTGCTAACCACTACAATTGAAAGACTAATGGGGCAGCAAGGTGTTCATGGATCATCTTGGGGCCCCTTATGTAATTTTCAAAATCTGATAATCATTTTTGATTCATTTTAAGATTGTAACATACATGTAAAATTCCGTTGAAATTGAAGCAATTTGAAAATTTAGGGGTCCCTTTAGTTCACCCTAGGGGTCCCAAATTTCAAGCCAAAGGACAGGTTTAAGACTAACAGTAATTAGTAATTGAAATAACAAAGTACATCTTTTTTAAGTTTTCTATTTAATCGACTTTATGGCCAAGGCTGTAGACTTAATTGAAAATTTCAGGGTTCCCTGCTGGTCCCCTAACTCGTGGGGGTCCCAGTGTTGATTTTCAGTGAATTCTAAGTGACTACTTCAGTTACTCGATATAATCTCAATATGTACTGAAATTTTCATTGAAATTGGGGAATACTGCGACAAAATACACTTGAAAAGCAATTGAGACATCAAGGGGTTTACAGGGTCCTCCTGGGGGCCCCCTCATGTATTTTTAAAAATTTGACAACCAATTTCTATCTCACTGTAAGAGTGTAACAAACATGCAAAATTTCATCAAAATCAAGGCAATTTGAATTTTTTGGGGTACCTTTGGGTCACCTTGGGGGTCCCAGTGTCAAGAGAAATGAAAATCAATATAGCGTATAATAAGCATGACAGTAAGTTGCATACACTTATCAAGTTTCATTAAAATTGGTCTCAGGGTTTAGACTTCAAGTCTGAAAGTTTAAAAATAACAAAACTAATGGAAATTCCCATTTAAACATTATATTTATCGATTATCGGTTATTGATTTTTGAAAAATGACTAATTTTTTTGCCCAGACACACCCAGTATCGAGTACAATCTATGTTTCAAATTTGGTGGAAATATGCCTTATGGTTCTCGAGCAGTTCGTGAACACACAGACATACACACACGCGCATAGTCAGTTTTATATATATAGAAGATATATTCATATACAAACTAGATAAATTGTAAATACATACATAATATAGATATAATATTAGCTAATATTGTTTTGCAATTAATAATACATCATTGATATATCAGAAACATGTTGATTGTTGAGGTAAAATATTTTGGAAAAGAACAATTTTCAAAAAATGTAAGAAAAGACAAACAAAAAATACACAAAGAAGTGATACTATTCATAATCCAAATTTCTGTTGATAAAAATTGTTATCAAAAGTGAAATAAAATTGGTTTGTAATAAAGATTAAATGCTGATTTATTACAAACCAATGTTATTTCACTTTGTAAGTATAAATCATATTTAACAGTGAGTACAATATGTGATACAAGAAATACTTTGAGATAAAAATCAAATATTTTTTTATATTATAGATAAAATATCATATATCTATATAGAAAGAAATTAGTACATATATTGTAAGGAGTGTTTCAAAAGAATAAAAGGAAAATGCAACATAAAAATAAAAAAGTACTATAGACATTCTACAAAATATGTCAACATTATGATCATTCCAAATTTTACCAAAAGAAATTTTATTTTTGCTTCCTAAACCAAACCCAAACTCACTCATTCTTCTATTCTTGGTTTATAAACAACACCACCACTGTCTCCACCAATTTCTTAAATCTTTACTCTTCAACTTTTGCATTTTATACTTTTCCAAAACTTCTCTTCCTTTACACCTGATTATTGCTCCATTTTATTATTTTTCTCTTATTCCATTTTTTCATCTTTATGTTTTTTTCCCTCTTCTTCTTCATCAAATATTCAGTTTTATGCATGAAATAGAAACACAGAAATGGTTGGTTCCTGGTAGAATTATGATAAATAAACTCCAAATATCCTACTCTACACTGAGTTCCTACTGTAGCAGACATCACCCAACACCAAAAGCAACAGCTACCATGGGAATGAAAAGCCTAACCCTTGAACAATTTATTTTAGGCTGTGTGTGTGTGCATGTGTGCATTTATTGTTTCAAGTATAACTGTTAATATATGTAAATGTGTTAAATTTTCAAGTATGAGATTTTAATATGTATTGTGAGAAAAAGCCTTCAAAATATGCCTTTGAAGCAATATCATATGATTTCTTTATCTCATAGTGTGTGTGTTTGTGTATATATATATATATATATATATATATATATATATATATATATATATATATATAAATTTCTTATTACATTAAACATTATTTTTAGTGGGTAATATCATAATGAAAAATTATGACAGTTTTTATGTCCATATATATATATATATATATATACAAAACTAACAGAAACATCTAATTTTATAAAGTTATGTCTATATAAACATAAATATACATGATTATTTGCACATGTCTAAATTTATTCAATAATCACATATCTATGTGTCCATATTGTTCAGATGTAATACTGTATTCATATATATACACACTACTTAGAAGTAACCAGAAACCCAATCCTAAACAGGAAACAAGGGATAAACCTCTATTCCTGTTCAAAATAGGGAAGGGTGTGAAATGGATGATAGGCCAACCTATCTACTCCTGTTATACTCACAGTGTAAATTAAGTAATTATTACTTCTGAATCCCAAAACAGAAAATTAGAAAGATGAGATTTAAAGAAAATTGTCTATTTTCCAAATCAAGCAATAAGTAAAATTAATATTTTTCAGCAGATGACCCACCATTTTCAATGCAAATTATCAAACTATCATGAAGTTTGTAAATAGCAATGGGACATATTTCAATTCAAGTATAACCAAATAGGCCTCTTCTTCAATGGAATTCTTTAAAACCTAAAGTGTTTTCAGTGTTCTGTTGTAAACCACTTTCTTAATATGAGCCCAAACAAAACCACTATAACAGTGTTATATCAAGGCATCTTGCTGCCCAAATTAGTGGTTCTGCTCTCTCAAATCATGTAATTTCTATCTAAACCCATCTGACAATATGTAATGTCTACATGCAATCTCCTTATGAAAGATCAATGTTTGCATGTCTTTTCTGGAGAAATGTGGAAGAAACCAATAGTCCAACATGTCCAAGGAGTTTTCACCTGTCATATTTTGAACAATGAAGTAAGGTTTATGAACCTTACTTCATTGCTGAAGACAACCTCATCCAGATATTTACCTTTGGTCTTGAGTAACATTTTTTTTACCAATTTTTTCCCTCAAAAATATTTTCCTTGTGTGTAGATGTGTGTTTGTACATAAATAAAAATTAAATTTGATGTTGTTCAGTTTACACACCTGGCTCAAATCTAATGACAGAAGCATTAGTATTTGGTCGTTCATCAAAGTCCATCATTACCAATGCAGTCCCTTGTCGAGTGTAACAGCGAACTGTAGAAATATGACTTAAGTCTCCACTGCGTACAATGGTAGCAGAAACAGAGCCATCATTTTCATCTACCACAATCTCAGTCTCCTTGAACTGCATCAGTGGCACTGAAGTAAAAAATTAGGAAAAATTTAGACATTAGAACTGGTTTTATTTCACAGAAATGTATGAGTAACATTATTTGAATTCACTGTAATGATGAAGATTTCATTTTCTTCTTTTAAACTTAACAATTTCATTAGTTTATTTTTATTACTCAATGTTTCAATTATTTTATATTTAGAATGATATCAGAAAGAGCAATGCAAATACAGAAGAATGTGTACCTATATTTTATAGATTATGCAAAAGCATTTGATAAAGTACATCACAAAGAACTGCTAGATAATTTAGACATATCTGGGAAGGATATTAGAATAATCCAAAACTTATACTGGCAGGAATCTGCCTGTATATGAATAGAAAATAAATTCAGCAGATATACAAAAATAGGAAGGGGTGTGAGATAAGGATGTGTCTTCTCACTGGACTTATTCAACTTATACAGAGAGGATTCATTATTGGCAGCCACAATCTTAACTACATAAGATATGCAGATGACACAGTGTTGATAAGCATGCATAGAAAGGAAACTATAAGAATTCTACAGAAGGTAATGAAATGAAACGAGAAAAATGGACTAAACGATAGTCCCTCTATGAAGATAGAATGCCTGGTTGTCAGCAAAAGGAACAATTTAACATGCTGATTATAAATCAGTGATATGAAAATGAAACAAGTACAATAATTTAAATATCTGGGAAGTGATTTAACAGAGGATAGAAAATGCGACACTGAAATCTGAAGGCACATTGGGATAGTAAAGATGCCTTCCATAAGCGAAGTGAACTATTAAGAAATATAAAAATTTTGTGAGAAACAAAAAGAGTATGGAACTGTTATGTAATATCAGTCCTTCTATATGGCAGTGAATGCTAGACAATCTCTTCACAGATGAAAAAGAGACCTGAAGGAACAGAAATGTGGTTCTACAGAAGGATGCTGAGAATAGCATGGACTGAACATGTGAGCAACAACAAAGTTTTAGAGAAAATAGAAACAAAATGAAACACTTGAAATTTCTAGGGTACATAATGGCTAAGGCTTGGAAAATTTGATACTCATAGGACAGATTGGAGGCAAGAGGGACTGAGGAAAACAATGCATAACCTACATAGTGAACTTGAGTAAATGGATGGTAGTGCAAGGTTTAGGAGAGATTAACAAAAAAACAAAATTTGTCAAGAGCTGCAAAGGACAGGAAATTGTGGAAAACTATAACTGCCAACATCCTGAAGGGACACACTACATAGAAGAATTGTCAGTAAGTTATATGGGCAATAAAATTTTTTAATTGCTCATATAATTGAAAATAAATCACCTTAATTTTGCTTATTTACACATGTATGTTTTTTCCACAATAGTTAAACAATATTAACACATCAAAAACAAAAAAAATAGGTATTAAAGAGTTTGCAAAATCCACAAAAGAATTGCTTTGATTTTATATTATGAAAAGAGTTTAATATTACCAATAATACTACCAAACAAACTTGAAAGAAAAGTATAAATAGACAAGGTGGGTCTTCAATTTGTATGACAAGTTCTTACTTTATTCACTAGAAAGTATATATTTCTAATCAGTAATGATATATATCAAATCTTTTTAATGTCATTGTCCTATCCTCTAGTCAATTCTTCTGTCTATTATCTGCTTTACTCCTCTTGAGAAGAATTGCCTACCTTAGAGCAGAGTGTTTAGCAAACAAGTCAAGCAGGCTACAGCCAGTGAATTTTATGTTTACTGAGTGACCTAAACTAAATTTAGTAAATATCTAAAAAATAAAAACGAAAATGAGTTAAATACTGAGTGATAAAAAAACAATAAAATATAGATTAAAAGCTTTAATCTGCAATCTCTACTATTATTATTGTACGTGTTTTTTAATCATTATGCTTTTCAATCTTGAGTCAGAATCAGGTACATCTTACACTTTTTGTCCTTTTGGGCTGGAATTAGTTATGCTTTCTGACCAAGAAACCTACATAATAACATTAAGCAGGAAAGAATCAGGAAAAGTAATATTGAAGAGGTGGAAAATTGTGTATAAAGAATTAAAGATAAAAAGTAAAAGTGAAAAAGAGAAAAATGAAAAGAAAAAAAAAAGGTATATATATATATATATATATATATATATATATATATATAGAGATAGATAGATAGATAGATAGATATTAATATATATAGATATAGATAGATAGATAGATAGATAGATAGATAGATAGATAGATAGATATTAAAAATATAGAGAGGTAGGATTGCTGGCTGGCTCTCAAGAGACAATGTGTGTAAAATTAAAAAGGGATGTAACTATTGTGATACATAAAAATTCTTTATGAAGATATAGAGCAAAAGAAAGATAAAAGAGAGGATAGAGTATAAAATATTTGCACATTTTTATTCCTTTTATAATTTTAAATAAAAGCATTGAAAACAATGAAGATTGGAAAGGATAAGAGAAATAATAACAAGATACAGTCAAAGTGCAAGAGAAATGCAGGTGCATTAGGTGAAAATTTAATCTTTGTTTTAATTGAACATGAACATAAGCACACTATGCATACATATAAACCTATGGAGAATAAGATATTCAATGTTTTATATATATTACTAGTATATTTACATACATGTATATAGATACCAAAAGCATTATTTTACTTTAAAATTAGGACAAAAGTACATAAAGCCATTCTAAACAATTGGTAAACTGTCTCTTCCAGATGGCACCTATAAGTGTCTTTGTTTCTATTTTATCTAAAACTTTGTCATTGCTCACATGTTCACTCTATGTTATTCTCAGCATCTTTCTGTAAAACCAGACTTCTGATGCTTCAGGTCTCTTCTTCATCTTTGAGGAGATTGTCCAGAAAGTAAGAGTTTTAAATATCATTTTTCATTTTAAATGAAAGGAAAACAAAAATGTTACATAAGGATAAGTTGAGTGAAAAATGATGAAAAGCTTCAGTTTTAAGAAGAAAATATTTTGCTCTACTGTTTTGTTTAAAAATAAAGTCAGCAAGAAATTGAATCTAATATAAACAATTTTTTTTCTAAAAGTTCCAAATGATCACTAATACTGTAAAAAAACATATGTTTGGAACTCACAGTCAGACGTAGAATCGTTGATTGATATCAGAGTTGTTCTTTGTGTCCCAAGTTTGGCATTCACAGGCATTCGAAGGATCAGCTCAAATTCTTCCTTTCCTTCAACTTTGGGAAGGCCGAGGTCATCAAGAATCACAACCTTTAGTGTCTGAACTGTGGCACTAGGTTCAAAGGTCAGGATCTTGTTAACAGCAATGTAGTCAAGTCCAGCTGAAAAAAAAAACAGATTTGATAATATGCCATCTCTTTTTTGTAAAGGCTGTTACATCTAGTATATGAAATATATATGAAATGTATATACAAATCTAACAGTTATTATAGGATAAATTTAGTATAGTTTTTCTTACAGATTTTTGATTGGAAAATAAAAAAAGCACAAAATAAATTCTCATAAAAATTTGCAGAAATTATTTCAAACATCATCATATTCTAATTTTATTTCTTAAAATAAATATTCCATGTACATAATATACTAAATTAAACAATCATTATATTCTTTTTTATTGTGTTGTGCATGTATATTGATTGTCAACATTACTTTGTATCAAATTCATGACTGCTCAAGAAACAAAATAATTAGCATAAAAATTGAGGTCTATGAACCAACTTGGATATTTGGCATCTAGATTTTATGCTATTTTATATTTAATAATAGAATTACAATGAATATAGTTCAGAGCCAAATTAGGTCAGAAATAGGACTTTGCATTAAATATATTCAATAATTATGAGAATAAGTTTAATGTACATTATGCTGTAAATGGCTTTCTAAACAACAAACAGCATGATATAAAATATGAATACATTAAGGTTTTCTTGAATGTTAAAATCATAACTTATTCTAATAGAAATATTATGATGAAAAAAAAGCAAATTTAAGGATAATCTAAAATATTCATAGGACATAAATACTCATGCATTTGAAAGACAGAAAAAAAAAGCCAAAGAAGTCTACAGAAATATAAAAAAAAACAATGTGGCTTCAATGTGGCAATTAAAACAATTAGAAATTACCAATTACTAAGATTTCCTGTTCATTTTTTTTATTCCTAACAGAAAAGTACATATTAGTTTCTTGGACATAAAACTGAATCTGAAACAAAAAAACTCATGTTTTATGGCCTGTATCCTTATCCTTGAACTTAGAAATAATTCATAATAAAAGTCAATGAGATGACTTTTAACTGTAATGATCTGTGAGCCTTAAAAGGGCAGTTAAACTATAAATCAATTTTATATTTGAATAAATAAGACTTCTCACTTTTGAATGTTTATTCCTCTTCTGTCCTCATCAGGAAAAATAATATACTCCAGGCTATCATTATCTCATTAATAATAACTTTCATTTCAAAATCATTTGCTTTCATCATGAAATAGTTTTGTATTATGCTGATCTGAATATCAAAGGTTCAACATGTGCACTCTTATTTTATATTTAATTTTTTTGGAAAGAAATATTTGTAGTTTAGACAATTGATTTATGAATAAATCTGTAACATTTTGAAAGGAAATAACTCAGCTATATAATTAAAACTTTTTACACATGCAAAGTTCAACTTTAACTGATAGTTTGAAAATGCCAGTTGAAATACTAACAGCACATGAAATATGTGTAATTTCTCTTGAAAGATACTGACATAAAATACCAGAGTTGCAATTAGTAAAATTATCATATTTATAGATCCAGAGTTTCTCATAATTTCTGTTTGTTAAATTTTTAATAAATATTATTATTAGCAGTGTTGATAATAGTGAGGATTATACTAGAAATAAATTAAAAATACTTTTGAACTTCAGCATTCAAATATATTATCTCATATCCAAACCAAGAAAACAGTTATAAACAAAGCAAAAAAAAGTCAAATGATGGATGCAACTGTTCCAGCGAATCATTGTGGGAAACAGAAGTGCTGTAAAATATATATATATATATATATATATATATATATATATATATATATATATATATACATATACAGTGGAGAAAATAAGTATTTCATCCCTGCTGATTTTCTGAGTTTACCACCTTACAAAAATGGGAACAGTCTATAATTTACATGGTAGGTCCATCTTGAAAGTGAGAGAATATAAATCTTTTTTTATTGAAAAAAATAAATATTTCCTCCACTACCAACCAATGATTCAGGCCCCACAGACTGGTCATGTGATGAGGAGTCATATAGACTAGTCCTATTACTCAATTATTACTCCTAATCAAGTACTCATTACCTGTATAAAAGACTCTAGTTCACAGAATCTGTCAATAAATCAGAGTCTAATCTCCCCACCATGGGCAAGATGAAAGAATTGTCTAAGGACACAAAATTGTATACCTGCACAAGACTGGAATTGGCTACAAGATGATTGGCAAGCAGCTAGGTGAAAAGGAGTCAACTGTTGGTGCTATAATAAGAAAATGGAAGAAACATCAATTGACTATCATTCTCCCTCAGTCTGGAACTTCAAGCAAGATCTCCCAATGTGGGATGAACCTGATGATGAGAAATGTGAGGAAACAACCCAGAGGTATGTGGCAAGAGCTTGTTGATGATCTCAAGGCAGCTGGGACCACAGTCACCAAGATGACTATTAGTAACACACTACATTGTAGTGGACTGAAATTATGTGGTGCCCCTACTCAAGAAGGTACATATTAAGGCTCGTCAGAAGTTTGCAAATGAGCACCTGGATGATTCAGAGGAGGGTTGGTAGAAAGTGCTGTGGTCAGACAAGACTAAAATTGAGCTTTTTGGCATCAACTCAACTTGCTGTGTTTGGAGGAAGAAAAAAGCTGACTTAGACTCCAAGAACACCATCCCAAACATTAAGCATAGTGGTGATACATTATACTTTGGGGCTGTTTCTCTGCTAAGGTTTATGACAACTACACCGAGTTGAAGGAAAGATGGACAGGGCCAAGTACAGGGAAATCTTGAGTGAAAATCTCCTTCCCTCAGCCAGGACACTGAAGATGGATTCGTGGATGGATGTTACAGCATGACAATGACCCAAAGCATATGGCTAAGGCTACAAAGGAGTGGCTCAAGAAGAAGCACATTAAGGTAATGGAGTGACCTAGTCAGTCTCAGGACCTTAATCCTTTAGAGAATCTGTGGAGGAAGCTGAAGCTTCAAGTTGCCCAATGACAACCTACAAACCTCAAAGATTTGGAGAGGATCTGCAAAGAGGAGTGGGCCAAAATTCCCCACTAGGATCTGTAAAAACTTGGTAACCAACTACAGGAAACATCTGGCTGCTGTGCTTGCCAACAAGGGTTTTGTCACCAAATACTGTGTTATGTATTGCTATGGGTTGAAATACTTATTTTTTTTAATAAAAAAGAAATAAATGTTAAAAAATTAATATAATGTGATTTTTCTAGAATTTTTTTTATTCTATTCTCACTTTTAAGATGAACCTACACTGAAAATTATAGACCATTCATATTTTTGTAAGGTGGCAAACTCAAAAAATGAGCAGGGGATGAAATACTTATTTTCCCCACTGTATATATATATATATATATATATAGATATATTTTAGTTAAATATTCTTTTTTATATTTTAACATTCTTTTTTATAGATACAAGTGTTTAAGTAAATGCTCTGTTTATAATAAACAGTATTATACGGAACATTTACCGGCCTGAATGTCAAGAAATTTTCATAGAAAGGAGCGTCCTTTGACAGACAAGGTCAAATTTACTGCTTATAAACTTCAACCTTGTCTACCGAACGCTCCTTTGTGGCCGATCGGTAAGGCACGTCAGCGTAAATGACGGTTCCATATAGGATGCAGGTTCGAATCCTGACAAAGGACGAATATTTTCTATGAAAAATTTCTTGGACATTCAGGCCGGTAAATGTTATTTAATACTGTTTATTATAAACAGAGCATTTACTTAAATACTTGTATCTATAAAAAAAGAACGTTAAACATAAAAATGTCTTTAATAAATAAATTGTCAGACTTTGTCCATTTCTTAATATATGACATCATTTGTTTACATTTGATACGCCAGAGAAGTTATGAATGTACGAGATTCATGGAAGATTGAAGTTTATAAGCAGTAAATTCGACCTTGTCTACCGAACGCTCCTTTGTGGCTGATCGGTAAGGCACGTCAGCGTAAATGACGGTTCCATATAGGATGCAGGTTCGAATCCTGTCAAAGGACGAATATTTTCTATGAAAAATTTCTTGGACATTCAGGCCGGTAAATGTTATTTAATACTGTTTATTATAAACAGAGCATTTACTTAAATACTTGTATCTATAAAAAGAACGTTAAACATAAAAAAATGTCTTTAATAAATAAATTGTCGGACTTTGTCCATAATATATATATATATATATATATATATATATATATAAATGGATAAATATAAAAAAATGTCTGAAACATAAACAAAATGGAAAATGACATTGTCAGTTGTGTTCATTATTCTTGGAGAGACAAGAATGGTCCCAGAGTGAACTGTGAAAATACTGAAAAATTGAGGAAGAAAAAAGGCTATTCAAACAATGACACTGCTGTAAATAGCTATGCTTTTCTGAAGAGTTGTTTTCATTTGTTCTACATTGTAAGGTTCCATTGTGAACAAGTGAGTGGAAAAATAAATGATGATGATGATATCTTTATGATACTTCAACCTAATCAGGAGAAATTATAAAGGAAGATATCAATATGATAGAAAAGGTCAACTACGTACTATATATGCATGATCTCAAATCATTCGCAATGAACAAAATACCAAGAAATATTGATTATAGCAGAAATTTCCATGAAGGATGAATTTCACTATAGAAAATATATGATGCTAGTAATTCATGGAGGAAAACTCATAACAAAAGATGGAATTAAATTGCTAGATAACAAATTCATTAAAGCATTAAATAATAATTACATTGCTATAAATAACTTGGTAAACTTGAATGATACACATACATCAAATTATGTTAAAAGACAATCTGTGAAAAAAAAGATCAGAGAAAGGATCGTGACAATGCAATGAAGAATAAAGAAAATGATAAAAAGACAATATGTAAAGGAACACAGTCATAAATGCAACAAGAATAGAATAATATGAAAAGAAAATCTATCATAGGCACAAATCCATGGATACCCAGAGGACACCTCAAAAGGGAAATTGTATCATTTATCAGTGTAGCTCAAAATGAATGCATTAAAACCAATTATGTCAAGGCAAAAACTAGACAAGTGTCAACAAAATAAAATATGTTATTATTGAAGAGAAAGAGGACTTGGAACCATACCAAAAAACTTCAGGTGAGATTAAAAGAATTAGAGATGTAAGAAAAAAATCAAAGCTTTTTCAACACAGTAGTGCTGGATTCTATAAGGATATTGAGAAATGTGCTGAAGACTTTCTGTCACTCAATTCACATCAACAAACATCAAGGAGAAGAGAGAAAATGAATTATTATTAATGTTAGCAAAGAACAACACTATAGGAATGAATTATATAGAAATCAAGACAGACAAGAGACAGGAAAACACCAAATGTGTGAACATACAGATGAGACCATGAGTCACTTAATAAACAAATGTAGTAAATTGGCCCAGGAAGAAAAAAAATCCAAAAATATCTTGACAATGTAGAAGGGAGAGTGATTCACTGGGAGGTGTACAAATGATTAGGATCAGAACATAAAAGCAAATAGTATATAGGCACTGGCCAAAATCTGTCTTGGAAAAAAAAAACAAAAAAAACAGAAATTGTCTGGATCTTTAAGATTCAAACAGATCAGCCAATCAATAGCTGAAAATCAAATTTAATTATCATAGACATGAGCAAGAAAACTTATCAGATTGTGAATTTTGGTGTCTTAATGGAGACCACAGAATATAACTGAGAGAAAATGAAAAGCTGAACAAATATCTTGAACTTATCAACAGAAGTGAAAAAATTGTGAAATATGAAGCTGACAACTCTACTCATCATTGTTAGATTGCTAGGGATGGTTCCAAAGAATTAGAGAAAAAGAGTGAAATGATTGAAAATTTTAGTAAGAATAAAGACCATATAGACAACAAGATTATTGAAAATGGCTAAAAAGTTAAGGACAATACTAACAAGGCATTCTCTCATTTGATCTCCAGTGGAACCCACCAATTACTGTTAGTGCAAACACTCATCAATACTCCAAATCACCTAACAAAGTGATTGGAAGAACTGGAATTCTGAAGAAAAATACAAACCATGTAGACAGCAGTTAGAATACTGAGAGTTCTATACTATTGAGGAGACTTGCTTCTACTTGATCTCCAGTAAAAACTGTTATGTAAAACTCATGTAAAACTCAGTAAGTACATAGAATAAAAATGCCTCCATAAATTAAACATTTGTAGCTATTTATTGCTCCTCCAAATTGTTCTGTGGCTTTTTGATCAATTGCTGAAAAAGAAAACTATTTTTCTGTTAGAAATTGAAAAATCCTTTAAAATTGGTTTGTATAAATTTCTCACCTTCAGCTGACCGAGGGTCAATTCCTTTGGATAGGACTGTGACACTGGACACTCGAGAAAGATCAGTTCCAATGCGCCAAACTTTGACATCAACATATTTCTCAACTTCATCAACATAATATTCAGTATTGCCAAAATATATCACAGGTTCTGTGAATACAAAGAAAGGTGATTTTTAATAAATATAGTTGATAGGGAACAATTTTCCAATGCAATTTTAACACAACTTGATTTTTCCTCTTTTTTTAATAAGAAAATAAATTGCTAAAAATTAGTACAAAAATTTATTTTAAAAGTTTATAACTGTGTATCTCACAAAATATAATTATCATTTTTGTAAAGATTTTTTTCTATTTTGTAAATAATGTAATATAATATGGGCATAAATAGATTTGTTCATATTCAAATAAAATACAATTTATTTTTAAAGTTTTGACAAATTGATTTGCACAAATTTATGGAAGATCACTTATCTGTATATTGCAGAGCATGCAATTTAACAGAAACTTAAAACTAAATACAGTAAGCCCAATTCAATATTAAAAGAAACAAAATTATTTTGAAAATTAATATTGTAAATAACTG